CATGTTGATCAGCGTCTGAATCTTTTTCAGGTTAGGCTTTATTCCCTCAAGCGTTTGAAGATAACATAAGAATTTGCATGTGGATGCTCTGAATATACACTTGAAATGATTGAGAATCATATTAAATTTTCTTAATAGCTTCGAAGGTCACTTTTAAATTTATTGAGCTGCTCAGGCACTTTATGTTTTTAATAAGATATCTTCCACATGCACTTCAATATTTTTTTTTCATTCTATTTAGCAAAAATTATATCAATCATGTGTTGGTAGGTAGCAAAGGAGAAAAAGTTTCATGTAGCCGACCCACGTAGTGGGATTAAGGCTTTGTTGTTGTTGTTGATGTGCTGGTAGGTAGCGCCAACATCTTTTAGCCCAAAGGACATTACAATATAGCAATACACTTCCTCTCTTGAGATGAATGCAATCTTTTCAACATCAGTCAAATGCATATTGATCTGATGGTAGCCAAAAAAGGAATCAAGGAAGCTCATTACGGAATGTCTGACTGCTACGCCCATGAGAGCATCAATCTGTAGTAATGATAGTTGTCCTTCGGGCCAATTTGTTCAGATTGGTGAAGTCGACACATCCTTCACTCGACGTTCGATTTCTACACCATGATACTATTTGACACCAATGTCGGACAGTGGACCTCTCAGATGTAACTGACCTACAACAGTTTTTGAACATTTGCACTGATCGGCTCGGCCATTGTGATTGCTGACGTCCTCATCTTTTGCTTTATTAGTTGGGCTGCCGGGTTGAAGTTCAGGCGGTGGTAGAAGTTGTTGATCGGTATCCCAGGAATCTCAACAACAAATTAAGCAAAATCATCTAGGTGGCTCTGGAGGGTGTCGATCAGCATGTCCTTATGGCCCGCATCAAAAGTTTCACCTAGGTCTGTTTGGGGCAACTGTTGATTATTTATAATCTGCAGATAAACAGATTATTCTGATAATCTGATAATCTAATAATCTGCAGATTATCAGAATAAGCTGGCTTGTTGTTTGAGGCAGCTTATTCAGAACAGCTTACTTGGAACTGTTGTTGAATAAATGACCATTCTGCCCCTGTTTGTTAAAAATTAACATTCATATGATAAAAGAACATTTATCAATAATTCCAAAGAAAATCAAGAATATGTTTAAATTGTGATATAAAAAACAACATTCATTTGCTCCAATTGTGAATCTCATCCTCCCAACAAATCAAATTGTGACGTAAAAAGTAACATATGATAAAAGAAAGGCAATAGAATCAATTTGCTTTTCTGATATGTTTTTTTTTCTCAAGTAAATACATAACTGTAGAATTAAAGATTATAAAATTGTAGAATTTAGAAGGAAGAAGTTGAAGAAACAATAATTACAGTAAAGGGAAAAGAAAAAAGAGGAGGAGAAGAATAGGAGCGGCTCACCTGCTATGATCATTTCCTTCCATTTTAGCGATCAAATTGCAGGGAAGATAGCTCGAGCGACTATGCAGAGTGCCGCGAGCATCAAAATAAAGAAGGGAGAAGAAGGAGAAACTCGATTGAGTACCTGGAAGGCTCGAACGACTCACCCGAGCGATAAAGTAAAGGAGAACTCCAATCGAAGCTTCGAAACCCTATCGTGCGGTGGCTTGCAGAGTTAAGAGAGAGGCAGACTCTCCGTGTGTCATGCGTCTCGCTGAGGAAGAAGGAGATGGAAGAGGGTTGCATCAACCTATAGAAGCTCGAGCTCTGGGATCGCGGCTCTGGGAAGGGAAGGATGGGATCGCGACAACTTGGGAAGGGAACGACGGGATCATGACTTACATATAGACCACCGAAACTCCCATCTTCATCCTTGTGCTCCACTTCTATCATAATTCTACTTCGCGCCTTCTTCCAGCGAGAGAGAAGGCGAGGGCAATCAAGGGTACCTCCAGAAATCCTAGGGCAAGGGGGCTCGTGAACGCGGGACGCGGGGCTTTGCCCGCGTCGAACCGGATGAAGGATTTATCCAACGCTAACGCGGTGCGGCAGAAATAAGTTCTGCGAACACATTTATCAAACAGGGAGGCAGCGTTTTGAAAACGCCGCCGCTCCCAATAAGCTGCCCCAAACGGACCCTTAGTAGGAAAAATTTACCAAGGTCACATTTGGTCGCAGTGATCTGATGGGTGATCTCGTTTGTCTCAAGACTTTGTTATTGCAGATTATCGTGCTTGAGGGGTTCCTACCGGGCACTGTTGATCCCCCCGGAGATAGCATGTGTGAAACTGCTCGAGATTGCCCCGAACAGTGATCTCCTTTCCGTCGTCTAGGAACTTCACAGCTGCTTGGTAGGTTGAGGTGACAACCTTAAAAAAGTTGAGTAAGTGACCACCGAAGATAACATTATAGTTGGGTGGTGAGTCAACCACTGGTGAATTGGTTGTTATTTTCTCCCTAGGTCACTGGTAAAGTGATGGTTCCTAACTCTTCCTTGCCAGAAAAATTGTAGAGTGGGCCGGTTGCAGCAGAAAAATCGTAGAGTGGGCCTGTTGCAACTGTCATTTGTTCGTTCTCAAGGCCCATCTTTTCAAACAACGACTTGAAAATGATATTCACAGAGCTGCCAGTGTCAATGAGGATGTTACCGCTCTGGTAGTTAGCAATCATCGTGGTAAAGAAAATATGGATTACCCTTAAGGAACGAGTCTTCGTTGGTGAAGATTATGGGAGAAAGTGAGCTATGTTTGGGTATGAGGATGGTTGTGCATAGCTCTCTCAATTGAAGCCTATTCATGCTAGCTTAGAAGGGCAGGTCCCCATCTCCAAATGTTATGATAACTATGCCAACGATACAAATTTCATGGTCTCGGATTGACTCATTCTATATTTTCTCAACTTGAGTTTTTTGGGTTGTTGCTCTTGGTGCCACAAGTTTCTTCAATTTCCTTGCTATTACAAACTCTTCGATTAAGTTTTGGAGGTGTCAACAGTCCTCATTTTCGTGACTGCAATCATGATGATAGGGGTATAATACTTCTTGGGGTCTTAAAAATAAGGTTAGGTCTTCATCGATGACACTCTATTAAAGAAATTTTTATTTTGTTTAATCTATACTATCTCGACCATTAAAACTCTAAACAGAGTTCTTTTTTTATTAGTAGATAGTGGGCGCTCGTCATATCGAGTCGGGCGTTAGTCAGGATACCAGACTTGACTCTCTTATTTTGTGTTTTGTCGGTCATTTTCTGATCTCGTGCGTACTGAGTCTCTTCCTAACAAGGAAGGGCAGCAGGTCGTGAATCGTGTCTCGATCTCCATACTTCACCCTGGGCAACCCTTTTCTACAGGTGACGAGTTGAGGAATCTACTTTGAAGGAGGCGGGGTTGAAGTTATACTATTTGATCGATATGTGGTTGTTGGCCATCTTTAACAACTCATCAAAGCCCAATATTATTAAAGTACTAGGAGCTGCCTTCCTCTAATCATCCATCTCGGGGCTGTTGATCTCTTTCCCGGGTAAGCGTCCCTTGGATGACATCCAACATCTATTTCTTCAACTCCTGGATCTATTGGGCCACACTTTCTCAAGTGTTCTCTATGTTTGTCAGTGTCTCTGCTATGGTTTTCTTTTTGAGCTTTTCATCTTCTTGTTTGTGACATAATCCATGCTCATTGCAGCTTTTAGGCTGTTAAATCTCAATTTGTTTGTGAATCACACCCAAAGAATAGAGTGAATAAGGATAGAGATAAAGGGAGATAAAAAGAGAGGAATGAACAATAATCCGTTGTATCAATGACTCCCTTATTTCTAGAGGAGATGGTGCAATGATGATATTACTTTTTTGTCCATATTTTAAATGGATATGTACCTGGGTATTTATGGTATTTTACAGGTACAGTTTTTTCGTCCGACTACTTTGTGGCTCTGCCGGCTAAGTTTATTTGGTTTTGGGTCGACGATATCAACTCAGTCTGTTGAGCTTGGTCTGTATGGATCGATCGGTTTAAATGGTCTGGCTGTCGATCATTGGTCCCAGATGAGGAGTCTCTGAAGCATCTATGGGATGGTTGGAGATGTTGTAGAACTAGATATTCGCTTTGATCGGCTTTACCGGGTAGTAGGCCATAGCATTGGGTTGGTTTCTCCTGTAATGGTTGGCTTGGATGCTCTTTTATTCTCGTTTTTAGAGGAATGTTGTGGGCTCGGATCATTGGGTTGCCTTATTGTCAGTCGATTTTAACATTGCTGGCTTGACTCATATGGCTTTCTTCGATCGGTCAAGTGGGATTCACACCCTTTTAACAGTGGGCCAGGCTTCACAATACTCTTGCTCGGTCGATTGTTAGATCTCTTGGTTAACGTGGACTTGTACAGTTGCATTGCTCTCTCTCTCTCTCTCTCTCTCGTAACTTTTCGTGCAACTTAGTGGCTCAAACTTTTTACAAATCACCTATTTATCCGGACTTGTACAGTTGCATTGCTCTCTCTCTCTCTCTCGTGTAACTTTTTGTGCAACTTAGTGGCTCAAACTTTTTACCAATCACCTATTTATCCGCAATATCTGGGAGCGAGGATGTCCCAGTGGATCACTGCATTGCTGGCTCATCTTCCTAATTTGCTGTTATCATTCGGGTTTAGGTTTTTGATGGATCTAATGTCAATGTAAACATACGGCAGACCTTATCAGATATGTGGATTCCGCTGAAAGAGTATGGAGTGGGGAGAGCATTTTGAGTATAGTGAGTCTTTTCGATAGATTTGAACCTCTTACACACAAAACCATTTGTATGTTTAGAGTAGTACTGAGCGGGTAATTTAGCACTATATGATCCTCATTGTCGCGGGAGATTAACTAGTTTTTTTTTTTGTTGTTGTTGTTTCAGTGTTTGAAGCTCGTCAGAGCAATCCTTTTGATAAGCTAGAGTTGGTGTCTCTCTTGATATCAGGATTTGCATATTTCACACCTAAATTGGCTGACTTCCTGCATCGGATCTATTCCAAACGCATTTAGTCGGACAATAAGATTTTCTTTGAGGTTGCGATTTGGATTACAGCAAGCACCTAGAGAAATTTTAATTAGCATAATCTATTCTTGCTGGATTGTTTATTAGCTAATGATTTTCACAGAATTCATGAAGATGAGTAGCAGCAACATCCAATCAATTACATCTCACATAAACTAGCCGCTTTTATAAATGAAATGCGTTTTCAGGTTCTGCTAGCCCTAGCCCATTTTGATAACACCAGTCTCTATTGATCAGTCTTGTGCTGCGCTTGTCCTAGCTGTAGGAAACAACCATCCTTTCCGGCGAGGAGAAGTTGGCGGCAGAGACGTCGGATATGCTCAGAGCACCGCTCCGCTGCAGCAAGCCGTCATCATTGTTGACTGCATTCTTGCAGCTCAACTCCAGTTCTCTCTTTTCATTCTGAGTGATAACGGAGCTGTCATCCTTGAAGCGATCATAGTACCTCGCCCATGACCTCATCTTGTCCCAGATTGATCCTCCTCTGTCCTCAGAATTGATGGCCGATGCTCTCAGGTCATGCCACTCCTTCCAGATAAAGATTCCAATGTATAGCAGAAGGGATAAAATTGACAGAGTTCCAGTGATGAGGAAGAGACCGCCAAAGCGCCAAAAATCTAATCTGGATGAGCTGACAGTATCACCAACCCCAGAAGCAGGGCATGTCGCTCGATCTCCAAACCATTTCCTCGCTATGTTTATCATAATATCATCCTCTGTAACATTCAGTATCGCCCTCGATACATTTGCTACGAGGGGTGAGCCTCTCGGGAAGACAAAGCCAAAGCCATCGGTTTTGTATATCCGACCGACCATGGTAAAGTTGGCGCAGTATTTGGAGAGGAAGAGCTTTAGATAGGGGATCTCGTCAAAGACGGCATCGACGCCACCGCGACTGCTCCCATTCAACATGGCGTCCTTGTACTGCTCCGGGGTGCTGTAGTGTTGAAGGCGGTCTTTGCTGAAGCCAAACCGCTGCAGCATCCCGAAAACGAATGATCCCTCCTGGTATCCGACTCGGCTGTTCATTTGCAAAAGCCGGCCGATGTTGTCCGCCTTAGGCTGAAGCCGCTGCAGCGTCAGCATCGAAGTCAGGCTCGCCGTGTAGCTTGACCGCAAGAACAGCACCACGAACACCCAGATAACTACCACCATTCTCGACAGATTGCTCCTCTTCTATATCTAATTAACTGGTTCTATAATCGAGCTTTATGATTAATGAAAATGACTACAAACTGTGTGAGAAAACTAGAGTGGCGAATGCGAAATATAGGGTGGTGCCGATTTGTTGGTCTGGCCTGTCGCGGAATTCCGGGTTGATTCGGTGTTCGATGGCCCACACAACCAGTCCGTTGAAGAAGAAGAAGGCGAGACTACTCAGCCAGAGGTCGGTGGTTAGCGGCTTGAGGAAGATCCAGCCATTCCTGGTGTTTTCCCGCACCAATGGCACCACCATGGCCACGCCAGATTCCGTGTATGGCAGCGTGAAGTCAACGTAATTCGACCGGTTCGCTAGGATCGTCGTGTCGCCGACTACCGCGTCGAAGTTACATAGCGAAAGTGTTAGTAAGGTTCAAGATTTCTTTTTTAGAATCTTACAACGGTAGATTTAATCCCTCCGACCATGCAACTTTATTCATGACAGTAATTTGTTTGCTATGAATAAATGATGCTTTGAAGCGTCACTTGTTTTTCAAGATTCTCAAAGTGTCAGCATTTTGGTGGTTTAACTTATCGTTATGAGTGATTAGTTCTTTCACTGAACTCATGCACATTTTTGTCACACAATTTACTGGTGCACACAAGCTGGTACAGAGTTTGCAAACATTACTGTTAATTTGCAGGAGTCAGGTGAGCCAATGAGAAACATTATTACTCACTTTCAAAGGGAGGTATTAAGTTAGAGATGTGGGTCACATCATATTATTGTCAAACATTTGTTTAATTTTCAATATTTATTTATAAGAAATTTTATTTTTCTTCAAATTTCATAAATATTGAACATTGTTATTATCAAATATAAAAAATTAAAATAATCAATATTTCATTCAAATTATATCATAAATTATACACCAAAAATAAATTATATATATAAATCATGGTAAAACCTTTCAATTAACAAAATACATACATCACAATGACTGTAAAAAAAATTAGATCTAACATAGCAACACATCTATATGTGTAAAAAAAATTAGATCTAACATAGCAACACATCTAAGAATGGGGGTCTCAAATAACTAATAACCTCTATTTAACATGAGTCGTATTATCTTTTGAAAAATATGAATCAAATAAGGTTACCAATTACAACCCAGCAAGCTACACATACGTCCAGATAAAATTCCAAACCGTGTCTACAGTGATTCGGGAAAGCGGCTTGGCTTCAACCCATTTTGAAAAAGTAACCATTGCAACTAGTATGAATTTTTGTTGGCCTTCCGATGGTGGAAATGACACAAGAATATACACCATTCGTAACAGTTTATCGAGGGTGATAAACTTTTAATTAACTTGAGCTCAAAAAGAGTGAATGTCATATTAAATGCACCTCTATAATCATAATCAAAGCAATCACATGACAGTAAAAATGTGGTCGAAGTATTATGTCTGGTGATTCTACAATCAAAGGACACCACAAAGTAGTGGTTACGACTAGTAGCCGGGTGGTTGCCGCCAATTGACACCATTATATTATGGTTACGGCCGTAACCCGTATGTTCCCCAACGACTTTCTACCATGAGTTGTGAATTATAAAAGTACAATTGATTATCATAAAGCCTTGTGTTAGCTAAGGTCAACGTAAATTTGTCCTCTTAGACAAACATCCACCTCAAATCTACAAGAATGTTTTGGATGATGCAGCCCATGGCTGCTGACAAGAATTAATCTATGAGGTTGGGTTGATTACCTCCTTTGACAAAGTAGATCAGGGACTACGATAACCTGTGATAATGAAATCATGGGATTTGATTGGGTTTCGTTTTTATTCCCCCATCATCCGCTTTGAGCTTCAATTGATGAATTCCACAACTTAAATCCTAAGTCTGTTGCTATTATATGGTGAACATTCAATTGTTAATGATTAATATTAATCGAAAGTGCTCTCCCGTTATCGATAGAGGTAATTAGCCACAGGGGCTTGCGCCAATGGGAGACCTCAAACCCCAAATCAAAAAGTCCTAGCAAAATGAGAGCAAAATCTCTGGACAGTGTTTTTTTCTACAATCTAATCCGTCTTCTGATGAATATCCAAAACTCTATAAAAAAAATAAAAATAATATACAGAGAGTTCATGGGAAGCGGTCAAAATTTTCGGAGCATACAAAACTACACTTGACATGCACATAAAATATAATTACTCAGCCACCTACATTTTTTCTCATTTTTTTGCATATATATTTTTGTCTCTAAGGTATATAAGTATCATTAGTTACAACTTACAAACACACACACACAGATATATATATATATATATATATAT